CTGAGAAAAGCCTGAAGCCAATGAACAGATCATTCAGCTTGTCTCAGAAGTGAAAGGGGCGCGGTACCGGATGCGACGCGGTCCACGGGCACGCCGCGTGAGGGCCGGTGGCAGCCTAGTCGAGGAGAGAAAACGCAGGGCGCCTCCCGGTGAAGGAAGGAGCCGGGCCCGGAGCCCCATCAGCCCTGCCTGTGCTTGCAGGCTTCTCCAGAGGCTCCCAGGAGTCACCCAGGGCACCCGCGGAGCCCCGGAGACACGGAGGAATCGGAAACCCCCCCCCCGGCATGCCGGAGGAGCAGGGCCGCCCGACCCCGTCCTCCCAGCCCGGCTCCCGGACCCGGGCCCGGACCGCCCTGCGCCCCAGACGGGCGTTCCGTCGGCGACTGCGACTGCAGTCGAAATCTCCATGGATTCCTGGAAGAATTCAGGAAATAATAAAGTATTCCTGATGGATTACGGCGCTAATTTGGTTCCAGAAGGCCTTTTTTTTTTTTTTGCAGGAGTCATCTGCGGTGCTTTGTGTGGGGAAGCGCAGCTGGATGTACTTAGCCGGTATTTTCGGAGTCTGATCGGCTTATCAAGCTCCAGCCCCTGGATTAATGCAACAGTGCGCTGCTAGGGCATTGAATGAGCAATACCCCTCTGCTGCCACGCTGCCTAATGTTTTATGGTCCCGTACTAATTTCCTTACAGCGTAAAACAATATTGGAGTCATGCAACGCTCCCATAACACTCCTGCGCTGGCTGCATGGCCTGCATGGCTGCCTGGGCGTCTGTGTCAGACCCTGCGCGGCGCACAAGCCCAGCGAGTCTCCGTCAGCTCGCTGGCCCAGTCCCTGCAGCCAGAGTGACACTGGACGTGGAGTGGAAGGGCTCCGTCTGCAGCTTACAGGCCACCCAGACTCAAACCCGGGGCCTGAGCGGGCAGGGGGCTCGGCGCACTCTGAAAGGGTTGTTATTCGGAGGCCGGTCCCCTCCTCTCCGCGCCAGAGAGTGCCACTGGCTCCCTGCCAGCAGCCCTGCTCCAGTGACTCGCTGCTCGGAAATGTCTGCCAGATGGAATTCGGCTCCCGTCCGCCAACTCCCCTCCTCTCTTTCTCTCCTTCTTCCCTCGCTCCCTTCTTCAGCTTCCGCAGCTGACCTGGGGGGCAGACGGGATCTTCCTCCGTTTCCCGCTCCTCCTCCCCGGGAGGGGCTGGGGTCCCGGGACCTGTCGCTCTCTCTCTCCGGCGGGAATCGGGCTTCCCTGCGCCCGAGCTCTTGGAGCTGGAAGCTCTCCCCCACGCGGGGGTCTTCCTGGGCCGCCACATACCCACGGACGAAAAAAGAGGGAGGGGGTCCGCATCTTAAACAACGAGTGGGGTCTGGGGGGGGGTCAGTATTATAAATAAAGGTCGTGCACCCCCCCCCCCCCCC